GTACCACTTTACAATAAGGTTCCCTTTTGCCATTTGTAAATGGTAGTAACTCATTAATAAAAAGAAAACTGTTATAACTTGTTTAAAATTGTCTATTAATAATTTACAAAGTGTTACAACATAATGAATAACCAGATTATAAACCATTCATAAACCCTTTATATGGGCAGCCTTATTGAAAGGTGGCACAGTTTTAATGTCATCCTCTGTGGCTCCGAGCCCCATCTTCATTCCCATGACTGACTACTGCTCCCTCTCGGCTTGCGGTGTGTCTGCTCTTACTCAAACTGACCCCCTCACCTGTCCCGCCCCCCGCTGCAGGTTTGTCCAGCGGAGCCCCGTCACCCTCCTGAGCAGCCAGGTCGTCGTGCACCTGGTCCAGTGTGCCATTGCAGCCGCCACCTTGGACCACCGGGACGCCAACTGCAGTGTGATGAAGTTCATCAGGGACCTCATCCACACGGGCATCACCAACGATGTGAGTCCCCAGGCCCCCGCCGCCGTGGCCCTGCCTATCCGCACCGTGAGCCTACAACTCACCCGCGCTGCCTCCGTGTTCCCCAGCATGAAGACGACTTCGAGGTCCGCAAGCAGCTGATCGGACAGGCCATGCAGCAGCACGGCCAGCAGCTCATCACGCAGATAATCCACGCGTGCTGCTTCTTCCTGCCTCCCTACACGCTGCCCGATGTGGCCGAGGTCATCTGGGAGGTCATGCTCTTCGACCGGCCTGTGAGTCGTCACACCATCCTTAACATGAAGATTTTGTTTGTATGCAGCACTAGAGAGTGACGCAGTGACAACGTCTATCCCCATATCCATCTGTCCCCACGCGGACCAAAGCGGTCCCCATACCATCCCTATGGAAATGCCATAAACTTTATCTCCATTCCTGTTGTTCCGGGGGAAAAGTTTTTTTTTTCTTCCCCCAATTCCCAAAGACATTAATGGTATTCCCGTTTCCCCCATTCCCACAGACATCCATGGTATTCCCGTTTTTCTCCATTCCCACAGACATCCATGGTATTCCCGTTTTTCTCCATTCCCACAGACATCCATGGTATTCCCGTTTCCCCCATTCCCACAGACATCCATGGTATTCCCATTTTTCTCCATTCCCACAGACATCCATGGTATTCCCGTTTTTCCCCATTCCCACAGACATCCATGGTATTCCCGTTTTTCCCCATTCCCACGGACATCCATGGTATTCCCGTTTTTCCCCATTCCCCTGCAGCCCTCTGTAGCACCCTGTCCTTTGGTTGTATTTTTAATTTCGACTCATTTTGATTGAAAGCTCAGTGACTGCCCAGCTGGTGTGTCTGGAAACCTAGAACCCAGTACGTATTGGACACTGTACCACAGATACTGAATGAAAGTTTTGCTGGGAGGGTTAGCTGAACTGCTGCACACAGCAGAGACCACAAGGTGGCACACCATGTACAGTTTGGACACCAGAGTTCTGACAGTTTCTACGATACCTTTTTGTCAGATGTTAATTATCCTGTCTCGCATGCGTCATCTGTCAGCCATCTGGCAGAGCTGGTGTACGGAGTACAAACGAGAGCGTCTAATGAGTCTTTATGATGTCACTTTGGCGATTCCAGACATTCTGCCGGTGGTTGGAGAATGCCCTCAAGGGACTCCCCAAGGGGACGTCCGGGGGGGCCGTGACCGTCACCAACAAGCAGCTCACGGACTTCCACAAGCAGGTCACCAGGTGAGCACCGGTACTCGGGGTCCGTCTTGCGGTTTCATCCCGGCCTCATCGGCCATGTGGACTCAGTCGGTTCAGTCACGTGGAGTATGCGAGACAGGCTGTACCCGAGACGTCTGGGTACAGTCATACCTGACCGTTAAGGAGAATGTTCGTTGTGGATCATGAGCATTTCTCTGCTGCCGATTGGTGTGCCGTGACTCACCGCACCGGAACACCGGGGCCCGCGGCACAGTCTAAGTACAAAAGTGAAAAACCAAAGAATGGGAAGCAGAAGTGAAAGAGATTTTCTGTGTCCATTTTGAGGCCCTCTGAGAGGTCAGGGGGCGTCTCCGCACCCGGGTGCCCATGGTCTTTCTGGTCCTGATGAACGGCATCCAGCGCTGACGTGCGTTAAAACTCACTGGTGCCCCAAGTTCCTCGGCCTGAGGAAGGAGCCTTTCACAGGAGCCCCTCTGGTTATTTTTGGGTTATTTATTTAATGACATGTATAATTCGGGGTGCGGGCATGCACAGACGGGCAGGCGGGTCACTGGAACGCCGGAGAACCTGTGCAGGAGATCTAGCTGGATTCCTGGGCAAGTCTGAACAGGACCTGGTGCTGTAAACTCCTGCCGCCCCGTCCTCCCGCTTCCAGAAAGTAGGCCAGCTCCAGCAGTCTGACTGCATGTCAGTGACCCAGCCTCATCCTAGATACACACCTGTTCCATGACCCTGTTTTTTTTTTCTCTTTTCTTAAATTTACTAGCCTGGTGTTTCTCAATCCATTCTTCAGGGACCTCCAGTCCGCATTTTTGCTCCCTCCTACCTCCCAGCACATCTGTACCAGGTATTTGGTGTTCCTGACTGGCCGGGAGCTGGGAGAGAGCAAAAATGTGGACTGGAGGTCCCTGAAGAATGGATTGAGAAACACTGCACTAGTTGGCCCGAAGGGCCATGGTGCCCAGCAGCTGGAATGAAATCATTCAGCTTGGCGGAGCTGTTGAAAGGTGGCAATTTGGCACTGAGAGCCTGACAGCAATCGGTCTATGTTGATGTCCTCCGCTTTCATTTTTCTTACATGCATACTTTGTCTGCTTGCAGTGCTGAAGAGTGCAAACAGGTGTGTTGGGCCATCAGAGAGTTCACAAGGCTGTTCCGATAGCTGCCACGAGACCAGGTAAGGACAAGGTCCATTCGCTCACAGTCACCTCTTATCGTCGTACAGACTGTTAGCAGCCAGTCATCCATGTTCCTGCTTACAGTCTGTACATCATCCATGTTCCTGCTTACAGTCTGTATATCATCCATGTTCCTGCTTACAGTCTGTACATCATCCATGTTCAGCAAGCACAAGAGCCCAGCCCAGTTTAAACTGAACCGTTTTGGGGTTTTTAATAGTGCACAAGGTTTTATTTCAAACATCGTGCAACATTTAGGCTGAGATCGTGCCACAATAGCACGACCATTGACCCTGCTATTGCTCCAGGAACTACTTGATCCTGCTTTTTCAAAAAATATACATTGCTTTGGATAAAAGGGTCTGTGAAATAAAGGAAGTGTAAACGTTTCAGTGGTCATCGTCAATCATTTGTTTGTGTTATGTGGTATGCACATACATACATCTGTACCTTCCTTGTAATTCGGTTCTGAGTTTAATGGCCTTTTTGTTTCTCCTTTAGGACAATCTTTCGATTGAGATGCAGAGAGGCAGTGATGTGATAACAGGATGACCGCCGTTGGAACTGTGTAACTCCAAGATGATTCTGCTCGCTGGAGAGCCAACACGATGGACCGCTGACGCAGGACAGACTACGTGCGCGTGTGAGGTCCCTTAGAGACGGCATCCCCAACCCTGACCCCCAAGGCCTGGCACGTCTTTGTCCACATAAAACTATGGGGTGGGGGGGGGGGTGGTAGTGAACTCGTTCGGCTGGATTTCATCAGATCTCGGATCCATTACAGGCTGGGCGGGCCGCTGAAGAAGGATGTGCCTGGCTGTGAATGAAAAAGACTATTTTTTTTTTTTTTTAAATAAATGATTTATTTTCATGGACTGTCTGAACAAACACGGCTCGCTGAGCCACTGGGGGGCAGCACAGAGCCGTGGATGCCAGCCAGACAGACAGCCCAGCCAGCTGGGGGATCTGGGGTCTTTATTAAAAGGACACTTCAGGTCGTGCGGTCAATTTTAATGCTTTTTTTAAACAGCGGTGGGGAGTTTTATTGTTTTAGTTGGCAGAACTGTTCCCCCCCCACTCCTGAATTGTGATGTGAGAACAGTATCACCAACAGGGGGCCCACAGCTGGACACACGCTGTGCCATCCAGTGTTGTAACCATCTTGAGAACAATAAAAGAACACAACGAACTGGAGGACGACTGACTTGCTGGTGTCATTTAGTGCCGAGCTCTGGAGTTCGCGGGAAGACGAGTAAGACAGGTTCCATGCTCTGGAGCCCTTGGGTTTGGTCTCCGCGGGACACATGTTACATGCCGCGGTTGCAACACAGCACTTGACGAGGGAGATGAGAAACGGTTCGTGCCCATGCATCCTGCATGGTGTGGTTAACGTTAATAATCTGTGGTGTTACACAATTGAGCACTAGTGCAATCCAGTATGTCACACCTGAGATTGAGTAACTGGAGGTTAATTGAACATTGTTCGATTAAAAATCCAGTTTTTTAAAGATTTTTGCCCACACATACAATTCATATTTAGATCCTTAAGATACTGTGCAATTCTGCATTTGGGTTCTTTGGTCTGGGAGGAACCTTCAAAGAAAAGTTAGCTGGTAATGTCTGGGGTTCCTGTGTTACAAAGCTGGATCTTTGGGTTAACAAGAAAACTTGTTGGATTTAAGGTACCCAGGTTTAAGTGAACTTTGTTCACTTGCACTTAACCCAGACTACCTTAAATCCAAGTGAACAAAGAAAGTCCACTTAAACCTGGGTACCTTAAATCCAATGTTATCTGGCTAAGCAAGAAGTGCAGCTTGGTGATGCAGGCCCCGCTCATGTCTATTTCCTGCCCTGTTGTGATACCCGCTCACCCAAAAATGGCTACAGAGGTTTTTGGGGACATCTGTCAGTTCTTTGATACATTTTCAACTTCCGAACTTTCTTCACTCAAATACTTAAAACTTGCATTTACCTGTCAAACACGACCAATTTCTTTCATTTGCAGTCAGCGAAATAAACTACAGCCTTGGACCAAATGTCACTTTTTGATTGGGTTCACTGTCCTTTGCTTCCTGCTGTTAAACATCATATGTGGCTGTTTCAGGATGAATCCAAACTGTCGCTCCGGTGCCTCTCAGTTTTATTAAAGAAACTTTATTTTTTTCCTTCCATTATTAAATTCAAACATGAAGCTGTACACTCAAACAGTTCATAGAGAATAGCAAGTACATTTAGTAAACAGCCTTGATCCAGGGCCTGCACAGCCGAACCACAGCTGCGTTTAGACCAGCTGCCAGCAGATGGAACAGTATGGATGTTCTCCAGCAAGAAGAGTAGGAGAGACTGTCCTGGTGTGGGGAATGTTGCAGAGAGGGTTTAGTGACCAATCTGTTGGGTGGGAGGAATCCATGGGGCCTGAACATGCTGACTCTGCAGCAATCTGTGCAGCTCCTTGAAGCGCTCTACTGTCTGGTCCTTGAGGTCAGGGTTGGAGATCTGTAGACGGATGCTGTCCGTCGACCAGGACAGCTCGCCCGAGAACATCTCCGTCAGGATCCGGGCCACCACCGGAACCACCTACGAGCAGGTACGTGCAAGTGTCATTTTCTGTAATCTTATTACAGGGAGAAAAAAAAAAACTATCACATGGAGACCTATCATGTTCTCAAATAACAATGGGGAAACCCCCCACGCAACAGTCACTGAAGCTGCAACCGCAAAAGATCACAGCTATAGTTCAAAAATAACTAGACCGGACTACTTACTTCTGTGTTTTTTTTATTCATTTGGCTGTTTTGCTTTTTGGAGGTCTAACTGTACCTGGACAATTATTAGCTTCTTCTCCTTGGGCTTCTTGTCTGGCCAGTCTTCTCCGAAACAGAAGTAGATTTCAAAGGGAGGCGGGGTTGGCGTTTCGCTTTTTTGGTACATGATCAACTCTGCAACACAAGAGAAGAGGCATTTGAGTAACGCATATCTAACAGAATCCCATAATTACAGGCTCCCTCCCTGTGGATGTCTGCACAATGCCTTTGCTGACACTAGGAGAAGCAGAACAACAGGGAAGAGAGCAGATTTGTGGCTGTGGAAACTTGGGAAGCTGGGAAATTGAGGATGCACTTGGAACAAAGTTGAAAGGCAGGAGCTGGTTGATTGAATGAGGCAGTCCCCCCAACCCCCCCCCCCCCTTCCAAATTCACACAAATTCAGGGGCAACATCATGAGACCAAAAGTGAGGTTTGAGTAAGATTCTAAAAATTTGAAATGAACAACATAACCCGCATAACTACCCCTCACCATGGAGGAACGTGTCGAGGCTGAACACCCGGATCTTCTTCTCCCTTTCCATGGGGTTGGGCATGGCTTGCTCCGGCACTCCCGGCCCTGACCAGAACACCTTGCACTGGCAAAGGCGGACGGCATAGATGTCTTGCCCGTGGATCTCCAGGATGAGGCCACGGTCCATCACGTCTAACAGATGCTCCGTGTAGAAGCGCTGCTTCTCATTAGGGATCTCAGCAGCACTGGGGAACCGAACCTGGTGCAGAGTCACTGGCCCAAATAGGTCCACCTGCTCCGGAGTGGCCTCCAGGTTTCCGTAGTACAGCCGACAGCCCTGGGGATTGCTCACGGTCAGCGAGCCAGCCGTCCTGCCTCGGTACTGAAACTTGATGTCCAGGTCAGTCACTGCCGGGAAGAGGCACAAAGCCACGTCAGTGGGTTTGATCTGTGAAAGAGGATGAGTTGTGCCGGTGGGTAGGCTTTTGAATTTCTTGTCTTCAGTAGGGTCTATGCTAGGAAGACTTTGGATTATCATAATAGTGAGGATGACCACAATTTTTTCAATAAGAGTAGGTTACTACCAATAACTAACTGTACAAATCAATCTGGTTCGATTTCCCAACTGAAGTTGGCCGCTGCACAAGACATCCAGGGGACTGTCGGACTTACGGGGCAGCATGTGGGGGCTGCTTAGCAGGTCGTAAATGCAGGGCTGCCCCTGCGGCACCTCCGGCATGGGGCTGTCCTCAATGGGTACTGGGAGCGAAGTCACAGGTGCGTCCGTTTGTCCTTGAGCGATAACACTGCCTCCTCTGCCACTGTGCGTGAAGCCGCCTTGCCTCAGGTCTGCTGCTAACGGAACGTGGCATGGATACTCCGGGAGGGCCATGGCGGATGGTGCGACGGCTGACATGGAGATGCCTCCATTGAGGTGGCCAGGGACCGGCATCATCGAGAGGTGGGCCGAGACGTAGCCATCAGTCACTGGGGACCGGATGAAAGGTACTTCATTGTTAAGTGCATGCAGTTTTGAGTAGCTGGGAGCCTCAGTGATCCGATTGTCTGCAAATCAGAGCAGAGGATGAATACAGCCACTGGGATTTGAGCGCACGTTCGCATCCTGCTCGCGCCCACACCTGACACACGTCTGACTAATCCCGACCGCTCCCTTAAGGAACATTACACGCCCACCCACACCTCTGTTTTCTACCTGTTCTGTCTGACCTCATCTCATATTAAAAAAAGTGATAATCGAATTTAAAATTATATTAAGAAAGGTGAGTATAAATTGATTTAATTTCAGAAAATGCAGGACAAATTTCTGGCTGAACCCCAGTAAAAGCTGCCAGTGTAACCAAAACAGAAGAAGAGTCTTACCAATAGATAGGTCAACAATGTTTGGAAGCTGAAAGTAGAGAAATGTAATTAAGTTAATTGAATCAGTCACAGTAATAAAATTACAAAAAAAGTGAACTGTACATGTGGTTTCAGTTTGCTTAGTGATGAAAACTATTGCTAGTAGAGGAAATATCAACTTTACTTCTTCATCTTCATCATCTTCATCACCTCCATCTGAAGCGAAAAGCACAACGTGATCAATACCGCCGCTTCGTGAAGAGTGAATCGATGCCCGTGTGTGAGCGGGTGAGCAGCTGGGGGTTCGGTTCGTGGTTACCTCCTGTAATCGGTTGGTCGCACACCTCGTATATCTTGTACGGCTGTACGGGTGTCTCCTTGGTGCCGTCATACTTCAGCTTGAACTCACGGCTCTTGTTCAGGGCACACCGCAGGTTGGCTTTCCATTTGGCTGGGTCAGGCTCATCCACCCCCTCCTGGTACTTCCCTGTCTCGAGAGCCCAGGCCTGCAGGTGGTTCAGAATGTGGGGGAGAAGTATTTATTATGAAACTTAGGGGTGGAGGGGTTTGTGAGGAACCCTGGCATTTCGGCTAGACGACCTGATTTGTACACCCACAAAAAGCCAACAGCTGGTCTCTGTTATGTAATCCTGTTCTTCAGCTCACTAAAGTTCAAAAACCAATAGAGTATCCCTTTGAGATCCTCAACCGGCCAGTACGCTGTGTGCTATGCTGCGCAATCATGTGCATCCGCTGGCAAGCCTGAATAGGAAATTCCACCCACAAGAGGATGGAGAAGCATGAAATGAAACTCAAGGTCTTACTGTTCATTACAGTCATGGGTATTATGCAATAAGCTACGATGCCCTCTTCACGTACCTTAGTCTACTCTGGCGTCCATGTGCTCATCTCACATGGTGCAATCTTTCATTTCATATTTTCGCAGTACACTTGTGAAGTTTCGTGTGTCTGACCGTCGCTAGTAACTGCTTACGCCCCAACCGGTATCTCAATCTCTGGCCAGCAGTGTGCAGCTTGAGGTACAGGCTCACCTTGAAGATGGTGTTTTCCTCCTCAGCTGTAGGCAGGTGGCGGGTGGCGTGGCGCCAGGGGATCTGGAAGAGCTTCTGTTCCGGCCCTAGCCACTGCAGGCCTGGGTACTTTCTGCTGTTGACCTGGGCGATGAGCCATGGCTTCAGGCGGATCCTCCGCGGTTGGAGGCTCATGACGGCGGATCAGCCGGTCCTGAGTTCAGCGGGAATGGGAAGGAGAGATGGATTTGAGGCAGGAGACCTCATGACAGCAAAGGCTCTACTTTAGACGGATGCCTAGGAGTTGAGCAGCAAAAAACAGGAGCTGCCATTTGAACACACGGCCATCATAAAATCACAACCTTCTAAGAGCCAGTTTTCAAACATAGTGATAAAACAGTCTTGGGATGAAATACAGGCAATGGAAATCCTGGAAAACAGCTTAAACGCAAAGTATGAGTGTCAAGCAGTCATGTGGATTGACTGATCTTGGGGTTCATGCCCACCACAATCCCTATGGTAAAGGAGTTGCATGTTCTTGCATGTGATTAGAACAAATATTACAAATATCATGTTTCACATAAAAATTGCTAACCATTACTCAGCAAGCAACATCCATTACTCAGCAAGCAATTTGTATGAAGTAAAATCATACTTAACTCATGAATTACATTGCAACATGACTAATAATAATAATCACAGTCGAGGTTAAGGTTCCAGCTATTCAGGAACTAAATCACATGATTCACTATCGCAATCTCCATTAGAGGAAGGTCAGCGGTCTGGCTGATTAAATAGCTCAGTTACGCAATCATGGACAGGAGCTGCAGGACAAGTCAGTGTTTGAACACCAACGAGCAGTTGGCCCGTTTTTGATTCAGATAAATCCGAGGTGATGCCGCAACTACAAGAGCATGGTGGCACGTCTTGCATAGACTTGACGGTCACATTGCGATGCCTGCTTTGTAGATGAAGATACTTTCTGATGAAGAGGAGGAAGGAGAACCTCCTCAATGAGGTAAAACAGAATTACAAAAAGGGAGAGATTCCCATTACAGTACAGAAAGCAACAACATCAATTGTAGAAGGGCAAAAAGGGGATGTCACACAGCAGGAAAATGTTCATAAAACATACTTAATGCTACTATCTAACCGTTCAACTAGCGGGGTTGCAAATTTCGTCAGCTGGCTGGAGTGAGATTTTGAATTTGAGACGAGTCTGCACACTCATTTGCATGTATGTAGCAGTTTTATTATCTTGTAAATAGTCTGTAGGGTTTGCAAAGTACCCCACTGCTTTTCATGTAGCTAATTTTAGGTTTATAATGGAATGTAAGAGAATGTACTACTGCTCAACAAAATATTACAGGATTGAGAAGAACTGGTTGACCCCTAAGATGAGTATTATGAGGCATAGGCAGACTAAATTGGTTTAATAGTACAGAAATGTAATACATAAAAAATTGACTGAAAGTGAGAGTAGCAGATGGGACTAAGAAAACGTTAAAGTAGTAGTTTCCTTATCTGGGGTTAAATGAAAATATTCATCACCATGAAGTAAGAAATTTGTGAAAAAACACAAACTCATCACAGTGTATAGAGGCGAAATCAGATACTGAGAAAGTCATTTCAGGGTCACATGGCTTAAGTGAAAGTGAGATATTCCAAATTTATACGATCTTCGTGAACTACTTCAGTCAGGGGGCTTTTACTTTCCTGACATCTGCAGAATTTATTTTGTGGTTGATTAATCTGAGTCATAGCCAGAGCCCATGTAATGCTACATCACGTTATCAGAAAGCCTGGTGCGTGTGTTCATAGTTACCTCTATATAGATTTTTTGTGTTTGGTGATATATAAAAATCACTCAAACTGTTTGGCAATAGGCACTGCATGCTACAATACTGTTTCTATGGTAATTATAGCCACTGTAAACTTTATACGTGCACCAAATACAAATGGTCCCCCTTAATATGAAATAACATAATAAAATAATGCATACATGGTAATACTAAACCTACTTTGGAGCAAAGCTTGCCGTCTTCGCTAATTATTACCATCCACACACAATCAATCCAACATTATAAACAGATCGTACTGTAATTGCAACATATCTAACATAATATTTTCAATGCTGTAATTTGCTTCAGGATGCTCAATGAGCTCAACCACATTACAAAAGCGTTTATAGTTCAGGTGAGTCACCAAGCATTTAATAATACCCAAAAATGTATTTATATCCAAAAATACTCCAAATCAGAGAGTTTCTGCTACCTCAAACCACTCACAATATGCCAGCTGTTTTGCCTGTACGTTAAATGCAAATCCGGTTTAATAAGTGATAAAGAAAGTAACGGCGGAGATGTACGTGCGCCGTTTTCCGAGGATGACCACACCTGACATGCAGTGGGTCTGAGACAAACCGGCATGTTACTGCAGAAAGGGGAAGATAACCAGGCAAAACCACAAGAGACTAAACACCCAATTCCCAAGACAGACATATTAAATAAGATTATGATGTGTTGCTGTGAAAGATATAGCCCACTTTGCAACTGTGAGCAAGTTTTTTTCCCACTGAAAAACGAACGTCTATACACAAGTATATTAAATATGCATACGTATCTAACACGCACTTCTATATATTTAAACATTTATATGTGCGTTTATTTATGCGCTCTCCAGATTCTTATATTTTATTCTAATATTCTTATAATATTACTTCTCTAAGTAGCCTAATATATGCCATACCTTCAAATAAACGGACTTGAAGGAGCAAGAATAATACATGACTGTTTAATAAGGAGACAAAATCGCACCAAAACTGGGTATACTAAACGTATAAAACATATGTTATCCCGATCACCGCTTTCTTAACTTCTCCGACAGAGAGCGTTTTATACGTTTAGTATACGGTCAGGGTTTCGCAGGCAGCGGCAGAAGACGCGGCGAAAGGTCGGTGTGACGCCGCCGGATGGTGCATAACAATAACCAAAAGAGAAGTTATTAAGCAGACATGTCTGCATTTACAGACCGAACAAAATGGAAACATGCATCACCTGAACAGACGCCTTTCCAGCGGAAACATGTGATCGTACCTACCTACCTCTGATAAGGTTTGTTTGAACTATTCGGTTGTTTTAATTGATTTTAGATTGAAAAGCTGTACTCCTCCAGCTTTATAAGTCTCCTCCCCGCAGTGGTCCGGGCAAAGAAAAACACGCCAGTCCTCAGGTAAGCACGGCTGGATAAAAGTCATTTAAATAAACCGCATGCAACTAAAAATACGCTACTGGAAATAAAGGATCATCCTCAACAATCAATGCAAAATAGTGAATCAATCCCTCCCAAAGTCTCACTCAACAGTAAAATAAGATGTGAAACAAGTGACGCAAAGTTGAAGACGGTTCCACCCTTCCGGGTATCATGAGTACTTCGAGACGGAAGAAGTTTGACTAGTGTTTCGGTACTCTTTGGGTGTTTTTATAACTGCTAAAACAGCTACTGTAGTGTACTCGTGGAAAAAGCCTAATTCATTTCCTCTAAAAATGCATATGCTTTCCCCGCTTTTGTCCCACCTGTTTTCACTTTGTAAGGTGCTGAGGCACGAGCACGTAAACCGGTGGTAAGCTATGTGGAAAAGGGGTATTTTTTTAACCAGCCGGATTGCTGTCAGATTTTTTTTGTGACACATTTCAAACAGGTATTTTAAAAGCACACATTTGACCTCCAGCGCGCGCCTTTGAAATAATAACATGCAGCATTCGCGGTAACATGCAGGCGGTCCGCCTACCGACAGATGGCAGTGTGCGCCAAGCTTAAGCAAGGTAAATTAACGGTGGTTTATTTTGCACCTTTACCTAGGTAGGCTAGGTTTAAATAATGTATCTACACTGAAGCTTAGGTATGAAATTTGCAGTCATTTGATTCTCAGGAGACACATGCTAAATAAATACCCACTTTATGCACCTACGATTTTCATGGATAATTGGGGGTGTTGTGGAAAAGATCCTAGGAACTTTAAAAGCGTTATTGTAAGATCCCTGCGGCAGCCGCCGAGCTCATGGAGCAGGAACGGCCCACATGATCAGGATCAGCTGTGAAGGGGAGCAGGCGCCCGTCCTGCCCTGCCCCATCCCTGCTCCCGATGGAGCACCGAGCCCACGGGCGACACCAACAGCGGCAACGCCTGCTGATGGAGAACAAGCAGGTGGAGGCCTAGACAGAGGCGGGGAAGGAAAGGAATGTGAGAGCTCAGCTGGTGATTATCGCTTAACGTTACGGGTGTGTCCTGCCTGCTGTACGCATCACATCACAGCAACCTGGGCAACTTTACAATTCTCTCTAAATGGATAACAAACGATCGTTTCATGAAACTCCATCTATATATAAGCATGGGATATTCCCTGGAGTGTGTGAATGGGGAAAATGATGCAGATGCTGTTCCAGTTTCCGTGCTGGAACACAAAGGAAAGGAAAATATGGTAATTTTTGAAATACAGTAACGTGTCAGTCTTAAGATGATGTTATTGCTTCTCCTGATTAGTACTTCTGAGCTGCTGGTTAAGGACTTCTGAAATGTTACTAAATTAAAGATACCTCTTGATCAGTGTTGTTATTAGCAGCTGTCCTGGCTTACACTCTTTGATGCCTCTTTGATTAGGGTGGAGGGGTCAGCTGATTAATGCTTCTGCAGTGTTGCACCCTAACCCTGCAATGCACCAAACAGAGCTCTCTCAGAACTGCATTTTAAACATCAAACAGTTCCTTGCCTGTGACAGTGGACTTAAACCACTTCTTAGTGATTTAATTAAGTAGCCTGTGGCCCGGCAAAACCTTCGGGCAGTGTACCTCTCTGTTGAATAAGTGCAAGTTTTAAAGGTGACACCATACTGCCAGAATGTTCCTTTATTTCATTTCAGCTGAATTTTGGTCTGATTTTTTTCCTCAGAAATTTTTCTAAAAAAGGCAAATTCCAGAACCTCATGTGAAAGCTGAACAAGGTGAAAGGCTGTAGCAGGTTTCTTAGCTGAACCAGAGGAAACCACAGGGTACAACTTTCCACCCGACGGGTGGGGCAACCTGTGTCTGTTTTTTTTTGTTATTTCTGTTCATCATGTCAACTTTGCGCTCAACGGTGTCGCATGTCACACACGTTAACGGTGACGCACGGTGAAATGAGACAAATGAAAACGCTTGTCTCTTATTAAGATCCGAGAATGTAATTAACTACGGTGCTTTCCCTCTTTGAATCAACCGTAGGCTGCAGAAATTTAAATGGTCAACGGGTAACTATGCAGAATTGTAAGGCAGTGAATGCAGCACCTCTGCATGATGCTCACTCAAAGATGATCAGTGAATTATGTCTCTCTGTCTCACACATAAATTAGGAGCTGACACCAGGCTAACTGCGCATAATTCCCCGGCTTGGCAAAAAATTACTTCAGCAGGTCCCCATGGTGCTCTCTCCTGGGCCCGCTCAGGGCTTCGCCTCAGGCTAACTTCCCCGGGTAGTCTGCCTGAGACAGCAGGCCTACCTGGCACCACAAAAAAGAGGAAAAGATTCACGCTGTGAAACTCCTGTAGTGATTGGTAGGGAAATCACTAATTCTGAGCAGATCTGGCTTCACGCAAGGGGGGCCAAGGTAGAGCCTGACCCACCAAGTCACAAGTACAGTAATACATAAATCAATAACATAGTTATTCTCAAGGCTTATGTGCTGTATATAATTGTATGTGCTGTACTGTTACACGACTGGCAGCGGAGTAGCTTTGTTTACACCAGGATCACCACTAACACGTGAGTAATGCTTTGTGCTTCAACATCACTATGCGATAGGTTTCAGTTCCATTTATAATCTTATTGGACATCGTAAATGCGGTCTGTCGTTTGCCTAAACGTTCTTATGCAGTGCATGACCACAGAGCAGTGTTTCCCAGCCCCGTCCTCAGAAACCCGCAGACAGTCCACGTTACTGCTTCCAGGAGCTGAGAGGCAGCGAAAACATGGACCGTCTGTGGGTCCCTGAGGACCGGGTTAGGAATCACTCCAGTAGAGATGTTGGTTGTGTGAGAGCCATCACAGTGCCTCACCATAAACCAGCCAATCAGAGCACAGCTCATCAACATATTAAGCCCACAAGAAAGAGAAGACGACCTCTTTCTGGGGCTAAATAGTAATATGAAGGATACGGTGGGCAAATTGTCAGTGTTGTCTGTTTCTGCCGAAGTGGTAGCCAGGATAATTGTGGTGGCAGGAGGGTCACAAGATCAGTCCCCCGCCCTCAGCACAGTTGGTCCACATCCAGCGACCAGTGATGACAATCGGGAGGAACAAGGCAGCAATTTTTTTTTTAATGCAAAACATTACGGTCATTTCATGCAGAAAATTGATTTATTTACAAACATATATTCACAAATGAAAGAAGAATTTGTTCTTAGGCATCCAGAATAGCATTAAACTTCTTCAGCGTTAATCTGGAAGATTAAGTATACATGTAAAAAAGGGCTGCATCCTCGCTGAATGTAATATTACTAAAGTGACACCAGAACAGCTACTTCTGTGCAGCACTGGGTTCTGTGCAGCACTGGGTTCTGTGCAGCACTGGGGTATATATTTACATTTCACGTTTTATCTACTCAGCAGATCCTTTTATCCCAAATGACATACATTCAGGATAGCAGGTCCAGCCAGTCCTGGAGCAGATGGGGATTGAGGGCCTCGCTTAGGGGCCCAATGGTGACATCACTCTGCCAACCCTGGGGTAGATGAGTTGTAATAGTTTTTTTATAGACCTGGTTTATAGTCTTCGGTACAGATCACACTGACTCTATCTCATCCTTCATCATCAGTGATGCCGTCATCGTCGCTGTCCGTCTGCGCCGTCAAGCATGCTGCAGAGGTCACGCTGTCCCTTACGGCATTTGCCGAATGGAATCCGCTCCCAGCCTGCTTTGTTTCCATCTTCCGCGCGGCCGATGTCGCCTCGCGTAAAGCCGCGGCCCTCGGCGGTGATGTGGCACGCGTTTTTGCCACTTTCCCCTGTTCTCGTTGTGGGAGAGCTGTTTCAGGGGCCTGTTCGCCTTCGGCGGATTGATGTGGACTTTCAGTGACCTCGTTTGCCCTCGATGTGGCCCCTCCTGCACGTGAGGTTGGGTCAGTCAGGGACCCGTGTGGGGTCCTCGAAGCATGAATGATTGATGCACCTCTCGTGAGTGGCTGAGAGATAACGAAAACTGGCGCCATTATGCTAGGGACCTCAGATCCATCGCACTCCCTGTTACACATCATCATGGTGGGCATGTCTTCCTTCTTGATATAAATTCCTTGTTTTCCATATAGGATGGATCCTAATATGTCACACTCCTGCAATGCATCATCGTGACAGAAGACATCCTCGGAAAAAGTCAGAAGTCTTCTTGGGTTGATCTGTTGGCCCTGCAAAAAAAAGGCATTTATATACCCGTCAGTGTCGAAACACTGATTCAAAGATTTAAACATGAACATCAATGTTCATATCGGGCATATCTGTTGGAATTGTGAATGAAGGGGAAAATAAAATTTAAGTGATTGTGTAATTATTAAAACTGCTACCACAGTTTACTTGTATGAAGTTTGTTTTATGTTGTCTTTAGGATAACTGATAAATATATATATATATATATACACACACACACACACACACACACACACACACCTGAACTGTCCCTGAAAAGAAATATCAAAATACAAATGGCAACAAGGTACTTTTGAAAATGATTTTTTATATATATATTTAATTTAGTTTCAAATCTGTTCAAGAATTAATCTAAAGCATCTTTATACTCAACATCGCCGAGACATTTACAATAGTAAATTCCTACTTTTATGTATTTGACCAACAGAATATTTTTCCTTATGTGTAGTTGGTGTATTTCCTCCTCCTGAAGGAGTTTTTTTGCTTGCAGATTACTATATACAGTACCAACATGGTACTTTTATAACGATAAGGCGTCTAATCACCAGGTTGCGGTGTCTCTCTGGTGCCGCGGCGCCCCCTTCTGTTCGGTGCAGTCGCTTCCTCCGGCACTTAGCGAGCTGTAGGGAAGCGAAACACGCGGCAAGCAGCAGCAGCAGGACCGCGGCCGCGATCCCGCCGAGCGCGCTCGCGCTGACGTTCACGTCGTAGAGACGCTCCTCTCCGAAAGCGCTGCGCGGAACTGTGATCGGGGAACAGTGCGGTCATTAATCCGAGCTATTGAATGGAATTAACGGAGGATATAGGTGTAAATCTGTTTATTGTTAAAAAAGGTCTACTAAAAACGTGCAAACACTCCTGCAGTTACGAATAAAGACAGTAATTTGTATTTCTAGACAGATTTAAGACTAAGATTAACTTTATTGATACCACGTGAAGTTCTGCTGCTTACACAGAGTTCCAAACAGACAACTCTGAGCTATTAAAGTTCTCCCCAAACGAGCTTGATGGGCCGAATGGCCTCCTCTCGTTTGTAAATTTCTTATGTTCTTATGTAAAGTGTAAAGACAGTACACAAAGTGCCAGCCAAAAATGTGGTGCAAACACATAAAAAACAAATAAAACAAACTAGTGGATGGTATATATGCAATTAAAGGACCAACAGCACCAAACTTTTACAATTACAAAGGGGGATGCTTCTAAAAAATAGCAAAAAACTAGTTTGTAAAGATCTGTTCTCTGATTGGTGTCCTTTACTGCTTTGCTGGATAAGTTGGTGAGCTACATGGATATCTTAAGAGAATGATATTCATAAAGCTCAATGCTGCACGGACTGTACATGATGGTACCTTGTTGACCTTTCTGGAGAACCTCAATGTCCACTGAAACGTTTGCTGTGTCACCCGATTCTTCATCTGTTGCAAGTACCTGTAAACGATAAATCTTTATTAAGATCAGCAGATGTTGTACTACTGTAGTTAAGTCACATGACCAATAACCTGTTGGTTCGAATCCCAAGAAGGACTTGGCTATAGTATCCCATAGCAGCCTACTGAACTTTCTAGTAATTTTTTGTGGAAATCCATAAATTTATCAGAAATTACCAATTACACATCTACTTTATCCAATTTAGATTTTATCACCACAATATTTCTACAGTTATCATAACACAGTGATGTGGAAAAGAAAGTACTCCTCCTTCAGTTCTATGGTTTTATGTAGCAGTACAAAACAAAATATCATATGATCATATGGCCCTAAAATTAGGTCAATCTAACCTCTAGGGACAAACAAGACGTAACATATTCCACTATGTCATTATTTAACAAAGCATAAGCCATGTACACCCTATGATTCAATAGCTCATAGATCCCCGTTTAGCAGCAGTAACATGAATAATTGTTTTCTGTATGATTTTATTAGTCATTTTCCAGGAATTTTGACCAGATTTCCCTACATAGCTTCCGTTTATTTCTGCGTCCTGGGAATTTGTCTATGCGCAGCTCCCTTAATGGTACAACCACAGTCTATGAGTGGGGTTGAGATCTGAACTTCCAAAACATTGACACGTTCTCTTAATCTTCAGCCATTCAGTTGTAGATTTGCTGGTGAGCTTGTATTCCATGTTGCGTTGCATGACTCTCTTCCAGTCAAGCTTTAGCTGTCAGACAGATGATTCCAAATTGGCCTCCAGAGAGAAGAGTTCATGGTCAACTTGATGACTTTTTAGGGCTTTTGGCTACAATAAGAGCCCAAATCAGCACAGCAACACCACTCTGCTTAAGGGTTGGTGTGAAGTGCTTATGGTCGTACATTATCATCAACCAGGGTGCTGTGCATTATGATCAAACATTACAACTTTTGCCTCGTTTGCCCAGAGGACAATTGTCCCAGAAATGGTTTGTTCAGATATTATTTTGGAGGCCTCAGTCGCAGTTGTTTTGTTTTTGGAGAGAAGGGTCTTTCTACTGGTTACACTTCCATGAAAGCCATACTTATAAAGTGTTTTTTGTCATTATAGATTATTAGTTTTAACATTTAACAGCAAATCCCTAGATGTAGCTCTCAGGTTCTGAAGTTTGTCTCAGCACTGCATGGTCTGACTGTAGGAGCCTAAATGCTTTTCATATGATAAGGAGGGCGGGGACACGTGGTTGGGGAGAGAGAGGTTATATTGGAGCGAAATAGTTTTTTGACCTCCTGAAAAGATTGCTCTCGAATTTGGATATAAATGTATTTATTTTATTTTGTGGATAAAATTTTATGTTTGTAATATTGGTAAAAGGCTCTAAGTAAACAGTTAATTTTGCGAAGCAGTTTCTTGGAGTTTTATGGAGTGGATTGGGACGGGAGAATCTTTCGAGCGTCAAGCTAAGCTTCATTAGGAACACAAGAACCTACACTGACCTTCGGCTGAATTTACTGGGACGCCCCCTCCGGGGAAGACTGGCTGACTAGATATTGTTCATCTGTGTATGATGCTTCTCATTTTACACCTGAAAGAAGAGGCACTTTCTCTTTCACCTCATTGTAGATGAAGGTTTCAAGTGATGTGGCTTCTCTGAACGATTTTCCTTGGACATCGCAAACCTGTGCTCACCTGCAAGACATGCCTTTCAAAGGCTCGCAGCTGACTGGTCATAGCTACTAAAAAGCCCTCATTTGTAATGCGAAAGAGTTTTGAGCTATTGAATGTTTGCCGCAGTGAGTAATTAATTTTCGGGTTCACTCCCTGAAACAAAACAGAGGAAACACATTTTATTATTTATTTTCAGCTCACATTTTTAGGTATTCACTAGAATGGGGACTGATTTCAATATTTATAGTATTTCACTACTTTTGACCAAATGCGACAGTGGTGTGACTCAGAGAGAGCACTGACAGAAACTGTGGTTCCCTCAGCTGCTAGAAAGGCCTTGTGTGGTAATTAGCTTATTCTATTCTTGTCGGCTGCTGTCAGTAGACTTGCAAGTCTAAAAGGAATTAACTGTTAATCTACCTTCACTGCTGCAGAGACAGCTATAGAATTATGACACAGGTTCTCAAATAAACATGGGATATTTAATTCACACCCTAGCAATTCTAACAATGAACCCAAATAGCTACCTCGCTATCTGTCATTAATCGTACAAGAATTTAGCGTCCTAGCTAAGGATAATAAAGACGAGACTGCGTACGTCTTTGAAGTCGTGGTCTGTGGCCTGGATGACTAGAACCTTGTTCCCGTCGGTGGAAACCAGCGTGGCCAGACTGGTTCCTTCCATGACAAAACCCTTGTATGATGTTCTGTTGAAGTGGAGTGGGAATCGGTTCTCTGCCAGAACCCGGATCAAGGCAGTTGCCACTGTATACTTTCTTGGGTCATCAACTTGAGAGGCCTTAGGGCCAAATTAAGGCAATTATTTTTATAGCCATGAGTTATTTTATCTAGCTTTATGATTACTCTGTTCCTGCTTTAACTCATAGCTGATATAGTTCATCACCCCACTTTTATTAAGTAAATTATTTGGACATAGTTCAAATCTGTCTGTTATCTGCTGGCAAGACATGTGGCTGATCTGATAACCTGCTTTTGTGTTTACTAGGCTGCAATCTGTTGTATTTTGGAATTAACAAACTATCCCAGGGGCAGGAAGGACCGCCCTGTCCTGTTTTGTTTTAATAAGCTTCCTGTGAATGTGATGCACCCCCTCACCATGATCCGCAATCTGAATGTCTGAATGAGTGTCTGGATTCGGTTCTTCAGTGGCCGCCTCAATACTACGTCTCCTGTCTCGTTGTTAATGTGGAACCGGCCGTCGTCAGAACCTATCGCAGGAGGCACATATTATGTTAATTTTCTTTTAGATTTGCTTACACTTGACATTAGATATTTTTTCAGATTTTAGATTCATTCACATGTTATCCCCTGGCCTCCAGTACCGAGATGGCAAATAATCCAATGCAACAGTCCAGGAGATCACTGACTAACATAACTCACATTATTTCCTGTTCTTATTTGCAACAGACGTTCTCCAGGGAATTATGCGAAGTGGAAGGATGGCTACCTTCTTATGCCTGGGGGTTTTTACGTGAATAGCCATATTATGTTTGGTAAAGTGACGGGAAAATGCACGTATCACACCTGACACAATGGCGTAGACCACCGGGGTCCCCAAGCCTTTGTCTCCGTCCTCAGCATGAATTGGACCCGGAGAGAAGAATAAGACAGTGTCCTGAAAATAGATAAGTGTAGGATTCTAGTTTATATCTGTCTGTCCGTTTGTCTATCTGTCCGTCTGTCCGTCCGCCCATCCGTCTCCCCCTATGGTAGGTCTGCTGTCAGCCTGGCTGGAAAACCTACTTTCTGCATCTCTGTGATGTTGGCTGTGTAGACTGGGTTAGTGCACACAGGGTGGACCATCTCCTGGGTTAGGACTGTGCATGGCTGGAACTGTGGGTACTGGTCATCTCCATCCAGGATGTTGACCGTGATCATGGTTGAGGTGCTGTACCTTTCCATGGTGTTCATTTCCTGTGTTAGTGTTAAATAAGTGTTGACCACATTCCTAATATCTGTATGGTATAATGGTGTTTGACCGCACGCTCTCAGGTGTTAAGGTCCTTCACCAAGCCTGAACGGTAACGTACTACTGCATAAATTATTAGGTGCAGTCGGGTTTTGGTCTCGTAGTCCAAGGGTTTATCCAAGATCACGTCACCACTGTTGGGCAGATCTATCCTGAAATGGCTGGCATCTGGCTGTAGGGGGATGAAAGATTTTTTTGGCAGCTAGACTTTTGGTTGAGTACTTCTCACTAGAGGTTACAAGTTACAGTACTTACCAGTGACTTATCAATAACGTACGTGATGATGTCATCATCAGCATCTCGGGCCTGTACGGTGAACGCCACAGCGTTGACGGGAGTTAGCTAGCAATAGACATGAAAGGACACACTCATCACTTGTCTTGGGACATTTGTGGAGTTGAATGGCCCTTAAGACCTCCTCACCTCATTTACGTCAAACATCAGACCACCTTCCTGCAGAAAGATGGGTCTGTTGTCATTTTCATTAAGGATCTCAACCATCACCCTGTATTCACTCTGAAAAGGAACAATGACTCTTTTTAAATAATCTATCTGTCTTCTGATGCATGTAAGTCAACATTGTAACATGAAAAGGAGATAATCATTAAAAACAACTATTGCTTCTATATCGCGTACAGATTGTTTCGTGATACTATTAAGTAAAATGGATTTGTAATTTGACCGTTAGAACGGAAAAACCTACCTGTGTTGTTTGATCTTCATAGCATTTTAATGCGGCCATTAAAACTGATCCCTGCGCCTTGATTAATTAAAAAGAAAAAGTCCATTGATGGTAAACTAATGTACAGTGACAGCAAGGGAAATGAAGATACTTTATTAGAATTAGGTGATAAGTGATGACACACAACAATGAAATGTGTCCTCTGCATTTAACCCATATGTGACATAGCAGGGAGCAGCTAATTCAGCACCTGGGGTGCAGTGGCTTGCTGCTCAGGGATTCAAACCAGCAGTCTTTCAATTACAAGTGTGCTTTCCTAACCACTAGCCCACCACTGCCTATCTTTGATCCTTGTCAAAGGGATCCCTTGCTCTCCATGACACACATATAGGCAAGAGCAAGCTTGGTAGTGAAGGGCAGCCACCTGCAGTGTTGTCCATGGAGCTGGGGGTTGAGGGCCTTCAGGTGTGACTCTTCCATGACAGCCATGCGGCTCAAACCAGCAACCTCCTGATCACAGCCACAGAGGCTTAGCCCACTGATCTGAATGCCACCCCACCACGTGCACCAGGGTGCACACAATGTACACTTATCCAACAGATATGTGACTAATGCCACTGAAATGAGCATACGACTGGTACCTCTCGATCCAGTGTCCTCGAAGAGGATGTGTTTAGTCTGATTGTTCGCCCTTCCAAGAAGAACCAATCAGCATCTTCTCCGGTGAGGCACCAGCGGGCAGAATTGGCTGTCTGGCCCTCAGCACTGCTGAATTTTGCTACAACCTCTCCATAGGGGCTGTTTTCTCTGACCTTTGCAAAAATATCCTGACCTCCCAAGCATTGGCTGGCTGCTGATTAAGTAAAGTAACATGGCATTTACATGAACTGATTTCAGCAATAGGTGAATAAAATTTATCAAACCAAATAAGAATAAAAATAAAGCATGCACTCAGCAAAATAAAAACAAATAAAGTTACCTTGGACTATATGGTAAATGGTATTTATTGCTGTATGATACAGAAATGCTCTGCAGATAAGCATGCTTGTGGAAATCCCAGGTCTTGGTCCTGCCACACTAATTAATTTCTGGCATAGGAGGTTCCCTATAATGAAAGCATACATTAGAAAATACACCTTAGTAGTTGCATCATAGCCCTCATGTTGATGGAGAAATACATTAGTAACTTTATCAAAGTCTTCTTGCTGATTCTTATCACTCAAGTTACCTACATCCCATCCAGCCTTGTGCCCTAAACTCCAGGCCTTACATAACACAGAGATGGTCAGAGCGGTTAAAAGATCAGTGGATGTAGCTCCTGGTGGTATGTGTTTGTCTGAAATGAGCCTTTTATATGGTCCTTCCTAACAAGCCCACAACTAGAATGCATAGGTACCCTGTTTAATGGGCTTACAGAAGGGTCTTTCCTGAGTCTTGAACTGGTAACCTTCTGGTTATAAGTTTAATTCTTTCAATGAAGTCTCATCTCCTACATCCCACATCTAGGGACGGCTGGAGCAGTTTACTATCACCAGACGACTGATTTAAGGTTGTGCTGGGGCCTCACACCTCCAGGGCTGTGGGTCTGTGCAGCGCCACCTACTGTCCTGTAGATGTAGCATGAGACCCATTGGCTGTTGGGCGGAGAGAGGAGAGTTAAGGTTTCAGTGCCTTGAGGCTCCTTCTCCATGCTCAGCCGTCAGTGCTGTAGGATGAAGGTCTCAGATTATAGGCTTATAAGAGGAGGTTCAGTCTCAGCAGCTGCAGTCTCTCTCTACCTGCGCTTGTGTGTTTGCAGAAGCGTCCTCCCATGTCCTAAGCATGTGACACAACTGAACCCATCCATTCCTCTTGTGTAACCGCTTATCCTATACATGGCTGCAGGGCCAGGAGCATATCCTGGAGGCTACAGGCACACAGCCAAACCGAATTCTGGAAACTGAGTATTTAGCCTGGGAGAGCTGGAGAGCAACCGGGAGCTTCCGGTCCTACGCTCAGTCGCATTGTGACGGTAATGGTACCTTTACAAAAATCTCCCGCACACCTTGCTGTTCAGGTCAGGCACTGGTGCAGTGTGTCAGGTACCAGATGGGAAAACAGAAGATGCAAGAACGACATATTTCATGGTGATTTCATCCCACTCACTATAAAATGAAAAAATCAACTGCACCTTTATTTTGAACCCCCTCGCTACATAAATGAAAATGTTTGTGTGTGTATATATACACTATTCACAGTTCCAAAAGAAGGTATGATTTTAGATGAAATATTATTGTCGTAAAAATATATTTTATAAAATACAAATAAATCATAATCCTTTGGGCACAATGCAATCATTTTAATTTGACATATAAAGGCATATCGTCCATATATGAATTAATTACCGGTGGCGGAATTTATGCTGAGGTATTTGGTGACTGAAGTTAAGCAATCATGGCAGTTACCATGGTAACCTAATGAGTTTGAATGTGACACAGGTTGAGCGAGACCCCCCCAGCCCATGTAGACATGCCATGGAAAGCAGCGTACTGTAGCTAAGGACATTCCTACGACTCGCGCCGTACCCGTCTCAGGAAGGGCGAGGTTCAGTCTTCATTCCCGCTTCTCCATACTCCCCATCTTCCGCTCCTTCTCACGGTCCATGACATGCCTGCTCTGGTGATGTACCCGGAGAATTCCTTCCAGAAAGTTCTGCCGGGGAGTCGGTGTCTCACATAGACTGACAGACTCCCTGCACTTAGGGACTTAGGGAGCGTTTCCAGGCTAGGATAACTGACAGCTGCGAGCGGCATTAGAGTGACAGGGCAGGATAAAACCCCTGGTGACTCAGGGGAGAGTGAAGTGACAAGCTGGCCTGGTGTCTCAGCGTCAGCGAAAGTGCCGGTGAGGAGTGTCGCTGCTCAGCCCAATTCACAGCCATCGGGAGCCCTAAACCCCGGCACTTAAACATTCCACAATGCACTGTTGCCAATATACATTAAAGACATTTTACTCTGTCTGCAGCGATAACCATGTAACCACTAAGTGGTACTACGTGCAATTATTCATACTTACTTACGTCACGTCCAAGGTTCCGTGCACCAGCACGGAACCTCCCATACATACATATATTGCCTTATTTATGGCTTTTTAGATGTATTAATTAAATGTAATTATTTATGTAGAACTGACAAGGTTGAGGCAGGATTATTACATTCATGTAGTGTTATTACAGCGTTTCAAGCAGCACAGGCTGCCCTAAAAGAACTAAAGAAGGATCCTGCTCAGTGTCTCCGCCATCAGCTGTTTTTTGGACCTGCTGGCATGCGTTCCCATATCTCCAGCTTCTCTCCTGCTTCTTAATCGACAGTGACAGTGGTTAAGGCATTAAGTGCAGCCTAGTCTGCAATGAGGAATTTGATGACGTTTATCGAACGATATCTGCATGCAGCTGAATTGAATAAACCTTGCTAGGAAGTTTTTTGAGAGGGGATGTGACACTGGGATGCTGACCGTACCATTGTACACTGACTTGAATCTCAGAATTGTTTTAAACTTTAATTCAAGTTCACCACCATACTTTCTGTTACGGTGGTGCATGGTGCAGGCGGAAAAGAGGGACAATCCATGAAGTAGCTCACCACAAAAATGGGGTTTATTCACCAACACAGAACACAAATGGAGCGAGAAGGGTCAAAACAAAACAGGAAGAATGGGAACTAACTAAAGAGTAACCACAAAGTATCAGATTAAAACTGGGAGCTAGACTGGTAGAGACTTAGATTTACGACTAACACGGAGTAACGACAACAGTGACTGACTGATGAACAGAGTGAGGGCAGCCACTTAAATCAACACAGATAACAAGACTAACGAGGGGCAGGTGTGGACGATATATACTGTATAGCTATGCGGCTATATCAAAAAATTTTAATCTTCAGTTATTTGGGGTTTAAATGTTTCTTTATGACTTACAGCATGCAACACAACATAGTGTTACATTCAGCAGTAGCCAGGGAGTAAATGCCCACTATCCACTACCCACTATGGAGGCATTGAGTCAGCAAGCCAATTTCACTTGGTATCAGATGGTGCGAGGTGAGGGTGGCGCCGGAGGTATGGCGGGGGGACAGGCAGTGAAGTTTGCCTGCCTGGACACCTCCGGAGTAGTGGAAACACTAAAACACCAGACATCGGCATTGATACAGATGCCACAATTAAACTGGGACCCATTCTTCGCAGGAACTGCGTGATTAGGGTGCACAGCAACAACGTTACTCCTGCTGGTATTCCCTATAGAAATTTCAAAACACCCCCCAATTCATTGTTTTTTTGTGAGTAATGGCCTAATAGATCACCAGCATTTTACAAAATCTTGGAAATAAGGTTTATCCTATACTGCAATTTTTCAATTATCTTGTTGTTAAATGCTATACAGGATCTCTAAAAATGGGTATGATCTGCCTTTGCAATTGTGGTGCAATTTTGTTTTATAAACCAACTGTATTTCCTAGTTAAGGATCCATCTTGTATTTAAGTCAAAACATAAATATTTAAGTACAAGTTGGATGAACATACCTTCAGAATCAGATCAAAATGACAGAGAAGAGTATTAGATAGGCATTTTTTTTGCATGACCTTACATTCCTTGCATACAGGAATGGTTTAAGTGCATTTTTAGAGAAGAACTTCTGTGTTTGATAAGGCTTCATCCATTCATAGAGATCCTATTCAGTGATGGCTTGTACACCACCGGTGAGGATCAGGTCTGGTAGTAATTAGCCATTTGACTAAGGGATCAGGGATTTTCAGGGGGTGGGTCTCGTCAATCACATTATTGATACTCTCCCCTTAGTAATCTACTTTTTTTTTTTAAGTAATTAGTTAAGAGAAACGTTAGTTAGCATAATTTTTATTCAGGTAAATATTTAGCTTCAAATTTTATTTTTAGCTCTTAAAAATGACCGAGGTCCGGACCTCTGTGACTTCATAGCTGGATACGGCCCTGGGCACAAGGACAAACGAATTCAATAAGATCTTTACACCTAGCCATGTTGAGGGCGAGTGGGTGGATTGAATAAAATTTTGACTATTTTGAGTAATTTTGTGCTATAATTTCCCTTGTAAGTTTGTATTACCGTTTCGTTTGAGGTTTGCATTGATTAATGATCTGAAATATGGTCTGATAACTTCGATTTCGCACATGTTGCATAATTCAGTGACTCTCTGAATTACGCGTTCTCTCACAGTCTGACGTATACCGGGTTGTCATTTAAATATTCGCCTCCTAATTGCTGCAGCTTCAGCCTTCAGGCGGGGAAGCGGAGAATGGAGGACCCATCTAGCAGTGCAGCGGTCTATCCGCGTATCTTTCTCACAGTGTTCTGCATCTTTAATTTCTTAGCACAAACTGAACAACAAATTCCTCATCAGTATTTCGACAAGGAGAATGGTGAGATTTTAAGGCTATTTGTTAGTGGCTATATAAAAATTACTTTTACTTTTTTCACGCAAAATTTAACTTTTAGTTTTCAATGACCCTGAATTTTCTATATATATTTTTTTTCCGTTTGAAGTTGCTTAAAATTTCCACGTATTAAAGTCATTTTAATTTTATTTAATAGAAATAAAATTTAAATGAAAATATAATCTAGGAATAGATTTCAGCATTTCACAAATAACTTAAAAACTCACTTGTTGGTTTATTATAGCCGATACACTGCGATTGTAAACATAGTAGTGGTTTAATAAGTCATATATCTTCTTAATACACCGAACAATATACGTTTAAGAATGCAAATCTAAGCGTAGTGTTTAAAAACGTGCGCCACATACTTTTAAAATAAAATATAATAGGTCATCTGAACAAAGTTTACAATAAATATTACTTTTCAATCTGTAGCCTGCAGTTGCGTGTATTACTCTGATTTCAACCGGGGCGAAATAACTAGATAAATACTACTAATACTAATACTACTACTAATATTACTAATACTACTAATAGTACTAACACTAAAAAGCAAACTTTCCAGTAGCCAAATGGGCAAGATAATTATCACAAAAT